TTTTTATCACAGATGATAGCTATGAAAGTAAACCTGTGACTGATCAGATGTGAAGAGAAGCCGTGTTTGTGTGTTGTTATTTTTTTTACCTTTCATCTTCAAGAGCAGGAAGGTGTTATTTAATCAGGATCCAGCAGCGGCGAGGCGGACACGGCTCAACGAGGACCTTTGGTTAAAAACAACAACAAAGAAAAAGGAAGACAGAAAACCACTCTCGGGCCACACGGCGGAAGAACGGGTCCTCGTTCAACCTTTGCTGCACTCGTTCTCCTCTCCTCTCATCTCGTCTGGCTGTGCACCAAACTGAAGACATGTAACAACGTTTTCTTCTTGGTAGATTTGTTGCAACATGTGCACAGCAGCATTGTGCCAATTCTACTGTGTACCCAGCAACCTGTGAGGCAGGGGATCAAATCAGTGCTGCTGGGATAACTCAGAACCGAGCCTTCCCAGAACTGTGCAAGGGTTCCCTTTAAAATCCAAAGTTTTTACCATCTCCTCTCTTTGTGTCACTTGGGTGATCCGTGTTGAAGAAGGACATAACATAGTTGTTGTTTTTCTCCTGCTCGTCACATTGTGTGTCACCAGGTGATACAGGGGTGTAAATGTAAGAACCTTGTAGACGGGACGTTCTGTGAACTTGTGTGAAAAAAGTACTGAAAGTGCAAAAACACAAGTTCAAATGTCACTCCATCCTTTTCCCTTTTCCTTTCTATTTGGAATAAGCACGCTCTATTGTAGTGGATCTCAGCTGGTGGGTCGGGACCCAAAACTGGGACGTGAAGCTAGAAGCAAAGAGTCTACTGCTGCATTCATGTGGTGTCGGACACATAGGAAAAACGAGTTTCCGATTTGGAAAATGCACAGGAACACCTGCTCAAGTCGGTAAAACAAGTCGTAAACTCTAAGAAGAATGAGGTTCCCGACTCGACGTCATCACATGAGGGGTAAAATATGTTTTGTTAATGTTAATGTACTTTTTAATAATTTTAAAGTATTTCACTTCAACTTTTTGCTTAAATATCACTTTTAACAGTTTCATTTCACTGCTCTTCCTTTTCGTAGCATCATCGCTGTTTGTTGCTGTTGTTACGACATTCAGACTTTCCGAACCGTAAACACACTGAAGTCAGAAGAACGACTTCCCGACTCGGAAACTTGGACCACCCGAGCAGCACCTGAATGCAGCATATGCTGTGCTCACCGTTCAGACCGATAACTCAACGTTTCTATTTGTTTAAAATATTTTTTTGCAGCAGTAGAATGTAGTTTGTGTTTGCCATCTAGGCTCTGACCCGATCACTCCTCACAGTTTTATTTTACATGCAGGAATTTGAGGAGTGACGGGATGATATCGTAACCCCCCCAGTCGGAGGCTATGGGTGGACGCTGGGGTGGTGGTGGTGGTGAGCGAGAGAGCAGTACTGCTGCAGGTCAGAGTGTTGTGAGGTGATCGTGGAGAGTGAGGCAGGTCAAGTTTGAAATCAGTGCAGATGGAGTTGTCCGTCACCTTGTTTGTAGGGGAGTTCATTCACACTCCAACACAGTAGGTGGCGGTATAGTGCACCTCGACGCTTGTTGCCAACCCACCAATAAAGGATACAAAGAGAAGAAAGGCGTTTTCTTTCAGTTTTGCACGTATTGTTTTGGTTTGTAATGTTGACATTCTGTGAGGTTCTGTTACGTCTCCAAATTTCTGAATGTTTCCTTAAAGGAGATCTATTCTGCGGATCTGTATTTAAATAGATACATATAATGTTACGATGTTGGATGTCCATACTAAACCTCAGCGAAGTTTTTTAAACAGAATATACTCAGCTTGGTGGCATAATCCCCGGACGTGGTTTTCTGCTGCGCTGAACGAGACTTTATGACACCACCCACAAATTGCGAAAATGACATGTTTAAACTTCAGAAGCCCTAAACAGATATGTCACGATACACTTTATTTAACGACATTTTCCTGTGATTTAAAGTTGTTTTAACAAGTTCGCGACTTGTTCATGCCATTATCGCTACATAACAATGCTGGTTTTCCCATCGTGAATTTTTGCAGATCTTGAGGAAAAAGTTGATATTAAAGGTCACATATTCTGCTAAATCCTCTTCTCCATGTTCCTCTAACTCTAACATGTGTCTCTAGTCCGTCTACAAACCCCCCAATGATGAGAAAAGTCCATCCTCTCTGTCTTCTGCCTGCTCCACTTTTCAGAAAATGTGTGCTCAAACAGACCGTTTGTAGATTTTCCCTTCATGACATCACAAAGGGCAGTAGCCCCTCCCCCAGGTGGGTGACACTCCCACAGCTAGGTGTTTGTTCTGCCCTCTGAGTCTGCCTTCTCACCGTAAACAATAGGACATGGAGCGAGAAAGGCCGAGTACACCCAAGCCCTTCCAGAGAAGGGGCGTGGTCAGACACAGCTCATTTACATATTTAAAGGTACAGACACAGAAACAGCCTGTTCTGAGCAGGGCTGAAATAGAGGGGTTTATAGACATGATCAAATACAGGATCAGAGTGGATTTAGAACAAGAAACTTCACACACATGTTTTGAGGAGCTCTGAGACTTATTTAAACTGGTTTAAGAGGAGGAGGATATGTGACCTTTAACTCCCCATCATGGTAAAACTGAGTAGAATTTAATGTATGGTAACATGTCCTTTAAACAAAAATAAGATCATCTCTCATGTTGCAACAAAGTTCGTAAAACCCTGTTTGTACTGAGTGTCGTAATGACCGATCTGTTTCCATCGCTGCCCGCTGCCCTCAGAGAAAAGATAACCTTCTGTCAGAAACGGAGAAGAGCCGAGGACACAGGACGCACACCGGCACTCAAGGTGTTCTGCGTCGTCAGAGATTTAGATGAAGACACGACTGAGTCAAATGTACACATCTTTATAAGACAGGACAAAATGGAAAAGGAGATCGTGTGATTGTTTGAAGACATTTTCTTAAGAGAGTCACATTAATACAAAGATCTATCATGGAATACCAGTATTTTATATACTGCAGTTTGTTATACCACATTTTTATATTCTGTAACATGTGTACATGGTAATATGCCAACTCTGCGTCAAAAAAGTGTTCAGTTAGTTCATCCAAGAAAAATAAAGAAAATAAAAAACTTCTCAAACAATATTCAACTCACCATGAAAAGGATTACAATACCCTGCGAATGCTCACGGCCTGTATCAGAATGTCTTTAAGCGTTTATCGTAACCACAAGAGAATACACACAAAAAGTGGATGCTTTGGGGAGCTCGTTGGATTTGATCCTGCCTCTCGTATAAAACACTTGAAGTAACTGAAATGCTCGTTAATGATTTACATCATCCCAGGGGGGGGAAACCGAGACAACACAGTGAAACTGTGAGGATTCATGACGGGATAAGAAAGGAGGAGACGTGAACAACTTCACTTGAAAACATTTGATATCCAGATACAACATCAAATGAAAGTGTTGCCTGAGGTTTGTCATTCAGTGCCTGGGAAATCTTAACACATCCAGGTTTCTAAAAATGAACTGATTCTGTCAACTGAGTGATTAATTACGAACCAATCTGTAAAAGTATTTGGTTTTATTGAATCTATTTCTTTTTGCTCTCGAGCTTTTCGGGGGCCATGATTATCTGTCACACATCGGAGCAAAACTTGTCATTTCTAACACTTTGTTCTGCAGTTTAAAAAAAAAAAATTAAGAATCCAATACCACACAATCAGCGGATCCATTAAAGTGGTTATAAAATATGATGTAACGTCCATATTTTAACACAAGTGAAGACTGTTTTTCAGTGGCTCCTCTCCGGCTGCTACAGAAGAGGTCTTTCTAAAAAGCGATCAAGTGCTTGGCGTGCAAAGAAGACGAGTGCGAGGAAGAGAAAGAGAGTTTTTGTTGTCCTCAAAAGATTTGTGACAGAATCTTTACGGTAGAAGACTAAAAATGTTTTAAATCATCAGCTCAGCCTTCTTGAAATCTGCCTTTTCTTGCCAAAGATTTATAAGGGAACACTGATATCACTCTGATGACTGTGCAGTAAATAATATGAAACTACAGCAGATGGTTAGCTTAGCTTAGCTTAGCATCAAAACGGAGGGAAACCGATAGCATGGCAACAATCCTCTACAGCTCTCCGATTCACGATGTATATCCTATTTGTTTAATCCATGTAACAGCACATTAAACTAATAGGACATGGAGGAGCCAAAGTGGACAGAGCTGAAGCAGAAGGTTGTTATGTCAGTAATAATTTACTGGATGTGTTCATAGTGTTCTTTAGACTTCTTTAGCACAGCATGATGTTTATTTTCTTAAATTATATTCCTATTTAAAGAATCAGTAACAGCGTGTCCTAACAGCACGCGAGTGTTGAAATATCTCATCCCATCGCTGTCCACACTGCATCATTTAAACATGTACTGCTTTGCTCTGAGGATTTCAATTTGGTCAGTTCTGTAGAGTTCTCTGTCATAGTGTGCAGTTTCTATCTTTCAACATGGTTTCATCTCCTTTCTCCTTCACCCACAGGAAACAGTTTGATATCAATTAAAGTAAGTCCTGCAGAGTCTGTGATTAGCAAACGCCTGCCCTTCATAGCAACGGTTTCTCCACCAGTTCACTGTCATGGGGACAGCAGGCGTTGCTATGCATACTCGGCCAATCAGAAACTAGCATATATGCAATGGGTGGTTTCTACCTGTCAGTCAAAAGTTGCGACCTTGCTGGCTTGTCAGCCAGGACAGAGAAGCAACAGCAGATCCAACCGTCAGCTTCAAGCCACAAAATGTATTTCCTCATGGGGGTCTCCCTATGTTCCCTCAGCCCTATGGTCCCTCAGCCCTATGGACCCTCAGGCCTATGTTCCCTCAGCCCTATGGTCCCTCAGCCCTATGGTCCCTCAGGCCTATGTTCCTCAGCCCTATGGTCCCTCAAGCCTATGTTCCCTCAGCCCTATGGTCCCTCAGCCCTATGGTCCCTCAGGCCTATGTTCCCTCAGCCCTATGGTCCCTCAGGCCTATGGTCCCTCAGGCCTATGTTCCCTCAGCCCTATGGTCCCTCAGGCCTATGTTCCCTCAGGCCTATGGTCCCTCAGCCCTATGGTCCCTCAGGCCTATGTTCCCTCAGGCCTATGGTCCCTCAGGCCTATGTTCCCTCAGGCCTATGTTCCCTCAGGCCTATGGTCCCTCAGCCCTATGGACCCTCAACCCTATGGTCCCTCAACCCTATGGTCCCTCAACCCTATGGTCCCTCAACCCTATGGTCCCTCAGGCCTATGGTCCCTCAAGCCTATGTTCCCTCAGCCCTATGGTCCCTCAGCCCTATGGTCCCTCAACCCTATGGTCCCTCAGGCCTATGGTCCCTCAGCCCTATGGACCCTCAGCCCTATGGACCCTCAGCCCTATGGTCCCTCAGCCCTATGGTCCCTCACCCTATGGACCCTCAGCCCTATGGACCCTCAGCCCTATGGTCCCTCAACCCTATGGACCCTCAGCCCTATGGACCCTCAGGCCTATGGACCCTCAGCCCTATGGACCCTCAACCCTATGGTCCCTCAGGCCTATGGTCCCTCAGCCCTATGGTCCCTCAGGCCTATGGTCCCTCAGCCCTATGGTCCCTCAGCCCTATGGTCCCTCAGCCCTATGGTCCCTCAGGCCTATGGTCCCTCAGGCCTATGGTCCCTCAGTCCTATGGTCCCTCAGGCCTATGGTCCCTCAGGCCTATGGTCCCTCAGTCCTATGGTCCCTCAGCCCTATGGCCCCTCAGGCCTACAATCCCCCAGCATCAGGCCCTTCTATATTGCACATAATGTGTTGTTTCACTCATGACCCTCCACCTCTGTAATCTTGGTGGAGGTGCATCATCTTGCTCTGCCATCATGGCTCTCGTCAGTAAGTGTCTGGCGATCTTTCATGTGACGGATGAAAAGCCACAGAGAAGGATGGCGCACTCGCACCTCATCATTCACCTTCTGTGATTTAAGCAAATTATTTGCTCACGTTGAAAAATTTAAATTCAACTGAACAAACAGGTGGTGCAAATGAGGCAAGTAGAAAAATCTGAGGGAACATAGAGCTGAGGAACAAAGGGTTTAGGGAACATAGGACTGAGGGACCATAGGGCTAAGGGAACACAGGGTTGAGGGATCTTAGGGCTGAGGGAACATATTGCTGAGGGAACATAGACACACTTCCTTTTATTGATGCCAAACATGAGGCTTTAAAAAGGTGTTTAACCAATGGGTGATGTCAAGGTTACTACGTCCACATCTTATATACAGTTCATCCTAAGGCCCAGGCATCAGGTGGTCGAGTGATGATGTGGAGGTTAACCCAAACCCATGTAGAGATACGGAAAGTTTAGTTATACAACTCAAAGTTTGAATTTGAGATTGATGGATAAAAGCTGCAACATCTGTCCACTGTTCCCGACACTCTGTTCACCTGTCTTCATCTGAATAAGGTAGTGTGGTTAATGCGCTCCATATTTTAGCTGAATTTTTTATAAGTGATATCAATCTTCTGGTCTATCTCTAGGCAGGAAAAGCAGAGTCGGACTCTCCCTTTGTGTTCCAGGTTTTTCTTCAGCTGTGTACGCAGGGCTCACACTGCGGCTAACAAATTATTTATACTTTCAGTTACAAAAAGGTTTTTGTTTTTTTTTAAGAGCAGAAAAGCAGTTTCACACCAAAAAAGGCTGAAAGTGACAGAACAGTTTCTCCAAGCGTGTGTGAGTGTTTTGGAAGTGTGGTGCAAGATATTATTCATCGACACATTATTCTCGCCATAAAAAGCAAATGAACTGGAAAGTGACTGCGAGGTTTCATCACCTCTTTGGGAAAAAGTGTCGCGTTGATGGCTCTGAGTCGTCCCCCATCCTTTAAGAGTCTCTGTGAATCAGCGTCAGCGGACTTTTTTCCGAGTGCTTTCACCGCCATTCACCTTCACATGAGACAACTTACCAAGCAGTGACACAGGTAATTCCCAAGAGAACGCTCCCCTCGATTAGGATGAGAACAAATACCATAGCTTTATACTTTAGCCACCCAGATCACAGTCAGAAAAAGGAACCAAAAAGAACACCCCGAAAATAAGTTAACATAATTTTGACACATAGAATTTTACAATATGTACATTATTTTTAAATTAAAATAGATTTGTCGGTTGTCTTGATTGGGTAGGTCCTCTAAAGAGCGCTTTCCCTTTTTTTTCGCAACCATCCAGTGTTATTCCACAGAAGCAGAGTTCCCGTTAAAAGCTCAGTGGCGGACCCTCAGAGTGAAAGTAAGGGGCTGCCATCGTCGAGTCCCTGCCAATAGTTTGTCGGGTGACGTCTTCGGACAGGGCTGAGCCCTTAGCAACTACGCATGGCAGACCCTCCAACACCCTGACAAAAAGAAATAAATATAAAATATATGTAATATTTCTATATATATTCATAAAACCAACCCAGGATAGATTTTAACTTCTCTCCAGAACTCAATCAAACGGTGGCCATTTTTCCTATTTGCCAGTTCGCTCCGCTTCCCTTTTTTGTGTGTTTTTGCAGTTTTTCCGAGAAAAAAAAGTCTTCTTCAAACCTGTACATCTAATACGCGAGTAAACAAAATGTAAAAGTGCATGTTTTTTTGAATATGTTTTATCCACTATATCCAAAAGTGTTGCAGGCACTTAAGTCCTTCCCAAACATTGTAGGTGTTTTTTTTCGACAGTGGAGCAGGTTGGTTTGGTTTTTTTCCTGGATTTCGTTTTGTGGGCCGGTCTGTCTCTGTCGATCCGTCTGTCTGTCTGGCGAGGAACGGGCCATCGCGGGGGGAGGGTGGGGGTTGGGGGGCGGCTAGCCCAGGATGTCCAGGTAGACCGGCGTGGCTTTTCCCATGGCGAACAGGACCTTCTGAATGTCCTTAATGTTCAGTCGCTGCTGCGGTTCCCTCTGCCAGCAGCCCAGCATGATGTCGTACACCTCTTTAGGACAGATCCTCGGCCTCTCCAGAACCCGACCCTGGGTTATGCACTCGATGACCTGCGGGAGGAGAAGAGGGCAGCGGAGTGAGACGGGAGACTGATTGCTTTGCTTTGTCCATAATGAGAAACCAACGACAGAGAAGGAGATCCTTTGAGGTTTGAACTAATGAAAGTGAGATGAAAGAAACAAACAGTCACTCTTAAATTTGTCCAATAATAAAAGGGGAAACAAGGTTTCATTTTTTTTCTGTCCCTCAGCACCGGAGTAACAAAAACACTGTGTCTGCTGGGGTGGATGTTTGAGATGCTGCTAAAAGGGTGATTGATCATTTCTTTGTTGGGCTTGTGCTCCAATTAGCCGGATGACTCACTGCTGTTGTGACAATTTGCCTTTATTATTTGTGTCAATTCCAGGCCACTGTAGCTTAAGAGGATGGATAGGGGGTCTATTTGTGCCTAATTATTGTGGCAGCTCTGAAAAGCTGCAACAGAAAAGCAGCTTTTATCTTTGATTCTCCTCTTAGTACTATCACCACGCACTATTTATTTATGCCTCCAACATATGCTCCATACCAGCTGAAGGGAGAATAACTGACACAACTGACTTAGCCTAGCCCATCGTACAGAGGCTATAGTCCTTGTCTCAGTGGCCTTGAGTTTGACCTCTGACCTTGGCCCTTTGCTGCATGTCATGCCTCTCTCTCCCCTCCCAATGCTTCCTGTCTCTCCTCAGCCGTCCTATCTAATAAAAGAATAGCTTAGAAAAATAAGAAACAAACAGTATCATAATGGAATTTAATTTCATGTTTGCAGGTCAGCAGCACGACGTTCCAGTCTTAGTAGCTACACCAAAGGATCCTGGTGCCAAGGTGGAAATGGAGTGGTAAAGCACGTTCATTATTTACTTGTTAAAAACTGACATTAGTGAACAGAGAGGGCGGGTGGTTAGGTTAGGTGCCTTCCCTTCTCTTGTGTTGCAGGTACTTGTGATTGGTAGGTCTGTCTGAGAGAACCTGGGCCCGATGCTCAGAGTCACTACACAAGCTGCCACATTAGGCCCCGTGTCCACCTGGCGTCTTTATCTGAGCGCCAGCGTCTTTTTTCAAATTGTTGTCAATGAGGTTTAGAGCGTTTTGCAGCAGCAGGCGGTCGCCTGGATTAAAAAGTGCAGCGCCCAGCGTCTTTATGTGCGGCTACTCCGAGCACTCAAGTTGAAAATCTTTCAACTTTTCAGAAAGGTGCTGTGGATGTCACCGGCGCTCTTTTCCTAATGTCTGATATTCCCCGTAGTTTTGCCGCCTACAGATCGTGTCTTGTCTCCACATCCTCCTCGCTCCGCGTCTGATCGGGAAATAAACGATCTCAGATATAAAACATGCAGTAAAAATTAACAGAGCAGTGTCGATCATACAGCGGCCGTTGTCAACAGACTGTTGTCATGGAGACAGGACGGACGTGCAGCACTTTTCTTCCCAGAAAAAACGCTAGGTGGACACGGGGCCTTAGTCTGCTCAGAGCATGCACCTTGTTTGGTTACCTCAGCTTCCTTTACCATCCAACACTCGTCACACACCCACTCACCTTCACTACTGACATCCAGACCTCACTTCTTTATGGCATCACATTAAAGTTTGTTGTAATTAAATCAGCTTAATTAAGGGTTAATTTGGTGTCTCTTATTTGCCGTTGTCTTTGAGCCGGTCATGACAAAAGACGTAGCATCTGATAACCTGCAGCTTTAAGAAGCCGAATCAGCTGGAAGGATTGTCTGACAAACCAAACCAGAGTTTCAATAAATCTGTTTCATCGTCAAAATTCTGAAAAACAAGTGTGAAAATCTGGCTCTGGAGTTTCCACTGGTTGCTTTTTGTTTTCCGAGGTGAGGATTCGGCTTTCTGTCTATTGTTTTATTCTGTTTCTCATGTGTTGCCACCGAAAGGATGAGAGGCCTGGCAGACGGACCAACCCTGCCACTGAGACTGAGGGGAAATCGAGCAGCAGCTCCTGCAAAGACATAAGGAGCCCTCTTTGCATAAATTCCAAGAACATAAACACTGCAAACAACCGACAACAAAGGATGCGGTGGTCATGGCAACGGCACCAAAAACCAAACACGTGAGAGAGTGTGATGAACCTGGTGAGGGATCATGGACGACACAGAAGCTAATCCATAAGAGGGGATGGAACACTTTTTCATACATTTAAATCTGAATAAGTTACAAGAAAATCAAATCAATCAAGAGATGACCGTTTAAAAAAAAAAAGAACATTCCATCTTCTTCCTTCTCAATCCCTGGCACCATCATTACCCACAATGCAACTCCATTGTTGACAGCTCAGTCTAAGTCTGTGTCTGAAATCACCGGGTTATTCTCTACTCTTACTCTCTCAAATTCGGTTCTCTGTAGAGGACTGGAGACCAATTTAGAGAAGACTAAGTCTGAGCAGTAACGCGCACATTGTGGTGGCAGAGAAACAATCCAGGCAAGTTTATCAGGAGGCAGCAGCTCGTGTCAGGTCAGCAGAAGCCGGGCTCTCGAGTAGGCGGAGCTCCCAGAATCTTCAGCGAGGTGATCTGGTACTACAACCACCCGATGTCCCTGACGCCCAGCCACCACCATCTGACTGAATCGCCCACACAACCACCATAGAGCGCCACAGGAATGAGTCCTAAAACCAGGAAGTAAGTATTTGAGCTCCATGGGGTCTAACGTCTAAAAGTCAACGGGGATTTTGAATGTGTTTGTGGTTAGACTCCTGAAATAAGGTCTGTGGTTAACACAAGCTGAAGAGATGTTGGTGTTTTGTTAGAGCACATAAACTACGTTAGGTAATACCTCCACTTGTGAAGTTTGAAGTTTTTACTCGTCTTTAAAAAGGCGGTTGCTAACAAGCGGCTAAATGTGACTACAGTGGTTGTCGGGGACATTAAAGGTCATCACGCCGGACACAGAGGGCGGGAACTCTCTCACTAGTCGGAGATGTCTCCTGTAGGTTTAATCTTTAGGTTCAGGTGAATATTATGTTAGTAAACTATTTATTAAACTACGTGGATTAGTTTATCGGAGATCGTCTGAAGCATAACGCTAGTGACGTCACAATCATCCCACCGTGGTGTAGTTAGCTTGTAGCATAACGTTAGCTTTTTACTTCTGTCGGCCGCATTAACGCTTTAAACATCATAAAAATGGCGTTCACCTGTGAAGATTATCCTGCTGAACAAAACGCCTACGCTTCAGAAACGTGAGTTTAACACAGAGATTATTTATTAATGATCCAAAACCCAATGAAAACGTCCCAGAGGAGGATTCTCATTAGACCCCATGGAGATGCTACTTCAGGGTTGGCCAACAAAAATATGTCATTTGATTTGTTCTCTATAAAGACAGGACCTGTAGACGTGCATTAATGGTGGTATGGCAGAGAGGGGCCGCTCATGTAGGAGCACCTGAGCCGCTGGGCCCGAGCGCCTTGCTCAAGGACACCTCTGCAGTACTCAGGAAGTGACCCGGCACCTCTACAGCAACCAGACTAACTTCCATACTTTTGGTCAGCACCGGGACTCTAACCAGCGACCTCTGGTTCCCTACAGACTAAGCAACTGCCGCCCTTTGTTCTCGGCTCTAACAGCCTTGGATGTGTTAAATGTTTGGAGTTTTCCTTTATGGGGGTCAACGATATCTCAATTATCCCCCAAAGGGGCATTTCATGTTCCGGCCTGCATTGAGGACAACAACAATAACAACCAGGAAACAGATGTGACGTTTTTTTATATTTTTTTCTTCTGTCATCTTTGTTGTCTTCTGTTGTCTGTATTGTCATAAAAACATCATGTGGCAGCGGTTATAGAAAATAGATGAATCTGTCTGTTGGATGAACCGTCCTTTAAAGACGAGGTTCAAAAATAACTGAAGTTAGTGGTTTTTTTGTTGTTTTTGTTTTCTTTCTCTCTTCTTTCTCCTTTGTCTCTTGTTCTCTTTCTTTTAATCTTATTCTTTCATTTTATATAACTAATTTGTTTGTTTGTTAAATATCGTAGAGAAAGGGAAGAAAACCTGATGGAGGGAAACATTTATGAATTTATGTGACACAGATCCAAGCTACCTCAGTTTGACTTCAAGCTACTTTAAACAAACTGTGAAACATGTTTCTGTATTGTAAGTGTTATTTTTAGGATTCCCTCATCACTGGAGCGACACAACCTTTTTGACAGCACACCACTTATAAAAATGTAAAATCCTTATCATCCTTATGTTGAATATAAACTGTGTACTGTATGTTAAGACATGATGCCAATAAAAAGAAATAAAAAAAGTTAGAATCAAAGAATAACTGCACAGCAGCCTTGATCTATATGTTACAGACATGTTCATTTGATGCTCCAGCGCTACATTTCAGATTTCAATATTGTAAATTATTCATCACCTAATTTATCTGGCAGCTGTAGCCACCGGTTACTCTGCAGATTAAAGCCCCTGCACTCCCACACAGGTGTTCTCAATTACCCCGGCTGATTACGACTCCAGTCAGGTGTAAGCTGAGAGGAGGAAATATCTGATGTCACCGAGCGGTACGTAACAAAGAGGACTGATTACAGGGTCAGCCGTGTCTTGCCTGACAGGTACGACCAATTAGAGGGACGGTAGGAGGATGCTTGTACACACCCTGAAAAACACTCGCACAGGGAGACTTGGAAGAGCAGATGCAACATGTATTACTACCTTATCAAAAAGCTGAAAATGTCTTCAGCTTCCAACACAGAGGATGATACAGCTCGGCTGTGACTGAAATCAGATACTTTCAGTCTAAGACACAGGGTGCCGGTTTAGCCTAGCGGTTAGAGTGAACGCCCCATGTTTCAGGACCATGGCCAGTTCCCACAGGAGTCTGATACAGGCTACATTAACAATGTAATGTGAACAGCCAGACAACTAAAAATCTGATCTGAGAAAGCTTAACTGCCAACTTCCACGTCGTTCTGTCAGCGCCTCAGTTTTGCTCCGTCTGACAAAGCCCGCCATCTGGAGCGTGAGTGCAGACATGATCAGCTGCAAACAGATCACAGATCACCCAGGAGCGAAGAGAAAAACATGCAAAACAACATGTTTCTTTGTATTTCTGAGGATGATTTGTTGTTTGGACGTCATGATGATAAAAGTAAATTTACAATCATAAGTCTGAATATTGTGTTTTATTTTGAAATTGGCCGGATGCTATGTGTATTTCCTTGTTTGTCTTAAATGACCGCCTAAGTGACACAGGTAGAAGGATCCGAGTGGGACTTCAACCGGACACCCTTTGGGTTCCCAACCCAAGTCTCTACAAGCTGAGCTACTGCCGCCCCAAATGTTTGTAATGTGCATCCAATGTTTTGTGCACCACTTGATTCTAAATTCAGCCTGACTGACGTGTGTGGTGGCTTTGGAACAACGTCCCCTTGAATTTAAATAAAGTTTGTGACTTTGAACCTGGTTTGTCTGCAGTTTGTCGTGTATGACTCTTTGTTGTCTGTTTTTTGTTTTTTTATGAACGCAGAGGAGGAGAGAGTAGACGAGCCTATAGCGAGCGAGTCCTGTTTGAAAACAAAGTTCCTGCAGAGCTGGAATAATTCATCATTGTGGATGAGAGCCAATTAGAAGTGTTGCTGTAATGCATCATTGTTTAGTGCGTTAGATGAATCTGAATAACTGAATAAGAAGTGCAATAATTCAATCACACACTACCTGAAGACAAGAGTACATTAGAGAGAGGCTCCATCTGATTACATCGTCACAAGGTTTCAGAGTTTAATCAGCTGAGCGTCTGAAAGTATCCAGATTCACAGAAACATGGAGAAATAAACGTGTGTCAGACCTCAGAACACATCGATGTTTCATCTGAAACACGTTATCCTCTCGGGGTCACGTTCATTTTCTCAATATGCCAGATTCACGAGAGTAATCCTAATTGAATTGTATCGATTCAAAGCTGAGCCTCCAATTAAAAATACAAAGTCATCACGAGTGTTAGAGTAACGCGGCGTCTTGTCTGGTGGCATCGATGATTCTTCACGTTTGGCGAGCGTGAGTCTCAGAGACAGAAAAGGAACACGAAGAGGAAATGTAGATTCAAATCTAAAACTGGACGTTCTTCATTTCAATCTGATATCAGAAGCTTCTTTTAGCCCCCAAAGCTTCGAGAGGAAACGTCAATCTGATATTTAACACCCCAGCTGATACGGACTCTGGTGAGGCGATAAAACAATAACCAGTGATTATCAAGATGTGATTTTTCTCAATATAAATAGAACACATGTTCGCTAAAGGTTCGATATATTTAAGTCTGCAGCTACCCTCTAATGCTCCTTAGACGCTAGATACCAGCCGACATTAAAGAGAAGAAGAAAAAGTCGACTAACTGCCAATCATGTCGCAGGGATATGGGAAGGCCGGGTAACAGACATGAGGAGCAGAATGGAAACACAGCTTAAATGAGCGATAGCGACGCTGAAGAAAACGCTGAGCCTCCTGGCTTAAATCAGGAGAAAACATCGTCACCAAGACGACGAGAAAGGATGCTCCACTTCAGGATTGTGGAGACATTTTGGATATTTACAGTCTGTCATAAACGACTATCATGCTGTGTTAACTTTGCCAAAGAGAAATGCAGCTCAAACAGGAAACAACATAAAAACCTTTCCAGCGTTTGAAATAATATGACCCATGAGCTCATGATGGTGAAATGTTCCTCTGTTCACGTAGAGTTTATCTCGTTCAGACGATAAATAATAATTAAATCAAAATTAAACATCTGATTTCTTCAACTTTCACTGTTTTCCTTTTTTTATATGTCATGTTCTGCCTCCTGAGAAGTTTTAACAATAAAGTTACATAAAACAAATGAATTCATTAGGAAGAAAAGGACTAGAGAATGTAAAACACATAAACCCCCCCCCCAAAAAAAAAAAAAATCTTATAACTGCTTTTGCAAGTATAAGATATTTGTGAGAGCAAAATGGTGCAATCTAAAAATTCAAGTCCAGAACCTCAAAAAGAAACAAATGAGGATCAGTCTTCACATTACAGTCGGTGTAAGGCATCTCTCGACCTTTAGACTTTTTCTCAACATTTAACATTTTTCCTCCAAATGCAGAATGTAAAGAAATCCTCCTCCGATAATTATCATTCATTCCTCATGTCTGGCCCTAATCCTCGTCTGTAGTTCTCTAAGTCCAAACATGTCTTTAGTTTCTTTAAGCATCATGTTGTCGCTGTGTGTGTTAACGTTTTGTAACAGCAGAATCTGATATTTTCTTTTTGCGAGTCTTCAAGCGGTCAGACAGGAAGCTGTGTTTTTGGGCCTGCGGTGATTCACTTGACAACAGCGAGCGTATATAAACGAGACTCTTCTGCAGCTTTATCTAAACGCTTTGGGGCTCTTTTGTACCTCGTTGTTTCCCAGCTGAAACCACGGCTGCTTCCCGTAGGTAAAGATCTCCCACAAGATGACTCCGAAGCTCCACACGTCGCTCTCCGTGGAGAACTTCCTGTACATGATGCTCTCCGGAGGCATCCAGCGGATAGGTAGCATGGTGTGTCCTCCGACCTGAGGGAAGAGAGAGAGAAAAAGTCATGAAGAAGAAGAAATCTTCAACAGGGAAGTCATAAAAACACAGATTAGACATTTCAGTCATGGACAGGAGTCCCAGGCGTCGGGGGGATTAACTGTCCTCACATGTGATACGACGGCCTTAACGCCTCATGGACGGGCGCTCTGCAGCGGCTCCATGTTGACGCTGACGCAATGCAGGAAAGTGCTGACTTTATCTGCCACCTTGTCTGTATGTATAGAATCACACAATGGGAGTTTCTTTAGGTAACAGCATTAAAGGATCCCTTTGTGCTTGATGAGCAGTCGTAATCTGCCAGCCTTTCTCTGCAGCCGTAGTGGCTTTACGCAGAGGATCAGAGTCTCAGAACAGGAAAGAGAAGGAGCCCTGATCGCTCTTTCTATTTCATTTTTATACTTGTATACTTATACTGGTTTTTATTTTTTGTTGTTTTTATTTTTTTCAATGAGTTGCTTCATTCATACGGTTATTTAATTTCAAGATGTTCAATGAATCAAAAAAAGAAACTACCTCCAAGAAAAGAAGAATCTTTAGAAATGAATACACAGCCATACATACACATCAAAACAATGCAATAAGAGAGAAATATATATATATATATATATATATATATATATATATATATATAAATAAATTGAAAAAATAAATAAAATAAACAAAAAATAGAAAACAAATGGACAAAAACAAACAAAAACAATCGCTCTTCTGAAGTTGAGAACGTGCAGAATGCTTGCTCCTATAGATGCTCCTGGTACAGCAGTTCATATGTTTCTTTCTAATGTAAATGTGAGCACTACATTTGCATGTCTCATAACATACAAACACAAAACCCATCTATAAGAACATGAAGCAGGATAACAGCGGCGGCGGCAGCGGGGACCGGGGGAGAGATATCAGCTGGAAGCTCTTTAATGTCTTCAAACCAGCAGAACATGAAATGAAGTCTCCCTTGCTGTAAATCCTCCTAGGCTGGATATTAATCGATTAAACAATCGTCCATTAATCATCCTTGCTCTCAGCTTCCATTAGCCGGGCATTGTTTTAAAATCTATTTCCCATTCATGTCACTGGCCGGGGTTTAATCATGGCGCCGATGAGCTGGACACGACTGATGTGGGAATGAGCGGCAGGCAAAGAATCCCGAGTTTCAGCTCAGAATCCGACTTTAATTACAGTGATTATTGTGGAGCTCACACTATTGACGGACTCTGTTACTAATACGCTGCTGTGATCCGATTCAATCTGAAGAGTCGAGTATCAAAGTCAAACTGAAAACGGATGATTTGTTCTTCATTCTGCACCTGTTTTGGCGTAATGTTGATAAAATACGATCAGGAGTCTGTATGTCGTGTTTTATTTTGAAATTGACCACTAACTCTAAACGTTTCCTTGTCTGACTTCCTGTCTGGGTCTTTCTAGCTTGACGGGACTTACAGCACACTCCATCAAAAATAGACTTCAGGCGGCGCAGTGGTTAGTGCGGGCCCCCCCCATCCACTCTAGAGAGGAAGGGGGGGGGGGGGAGAGAGAGACAGCTCTCTGCAATGTTTAGAATTTGGACTGCAGTATCCATTTTAAACACTAGGGGTCAGAGTTACATACTGCTCCTTTAATACACAAATATGGGTGAATACATGCAGTGTTCATGTGTGGGCTTGTAGTAAATTTAGCATTACAACGTGCTCTTACTAAACATTGTATTGTACGTTATATACATTGAGTTTGTTGTCACATCACCTTCCTGTCTTGGAAGATTTCTGCTGTCATTTATTTTTGTTATCTGCTTTACTTTTTGGCCTTCGCCGTCTATCTTATTGTTATCTTGACATTTTCGTCAAGATAAGGGTGAGATGGATTTTTAAGCCCCTTTGAGGGTTTTTTTTTTAAATCTATGGGTCAGTGGAAGTAGTCCTACATCATATCAGACACACATCCGTCATCACATCCGGCCACCCATGCCCGACTGATCCGCCAATCCAACCATCCATCTGTGAATCCATCAGTCTATCCTACAGAGCTGAAACACAACACATACCATAACATGTGAAATCCTCATTAAAACAACCACTCTATCAATATGGTTCCCTCTCCTCCAATCACATTCATTTAATCATAAGCTCTTCTCCAATCTCCATTTACCAGCTCCGACATCTGTGTGCCTTCAGATGTGAGCATTGTGTCACATTTTAAGTATCAAGAGGAGAAAAAAAGGAAAAAACAGCCCACCACGTCACACTAATTACCTCCCAGTTCCTTACGCGCTCATCACACATTTCCTTTTGAAAGTCAAACACAATCTCTGCGTGTCAGCTTGATGAATCTTCTGGATGTTTTAAAGGAAGATGAGATTTGTCGGTGTGCCAGACGGCTTTTCAGAACGTCCTCTAGTTTGTACACTTCATCAGATTCTGCTGCAGAGCACGAGGCCTCTGTTTGTCCCCCCTCCCCCCCCCCTCTGGTATTATCCTTCATCAGACCCTCTTCACTGAAGTCCTGAATTTGGTTGCTACATCTGTTAGTACGTCTACAATAAAGTGCATGTTTGTGTCCCATTTTGATGAAGTATGAAACGCACACAGAACTATGATTATAAAGACCTCAAAGTGTCAGACACTAAAAGCAAAAATGCCAGTATCGGCCGATAACAAGCTAACGTGACGTGTCTCTGTTTTTGATAGCGTGTCGCAGAAACCAATTTACTTTTGTTTTTACTTCAAATGAGGGCTGTTAAACAGGTACATTTTTAATCGCATGTTTGTATAACATTATTTTGAAAAAAAAAAACAATAAATAATTAGGATTATATTTTTAATGTTTGTCCTGTCTTAAGCTGAGAGTCATTTAATTGCTGTGTGCTTTTATTTTAAATAAAATAAAGTAAGGCCCTTTAGGGATCCCAAATGGACGTCAAACAGCTCAAAGGAACGGTAACTCACAGTTCAATGTGTGATGTCATAAGGGGGATATTACTTTGGACTCGTCAGCTGAGCACCATGAACAGATCACAGGATATAAACGTCACTACCCCCTCCCACTCGCTCGATGTGAATTCTCCTGATTATATCCTGCTGCAGTCTCACATCAGCTCACTCTGACTTTCTGCGCACAAAATTCTCTGGGGATGGCAGGAGAAACTCCGGGTGAAGTCTGAGAGAAACATTCGGCTGCTTGCGTTCACACATGCAGCTCTTCCTGGAAGTTTTCTGGAAGTTTTCTGCAGGTGTCCTAAAAGTTACTGACATGCCTGGGCGAAGTGTGCCTCCTCTCTCTGCTCTACGTTTACACATTTATATCTGCTGAGCTCGCTCTATGATGGTGCCTCTAAAGCAGCTTGCTTGAGAATATTGGAAAATGTTATCCCGTAAAGCCCACTCGTCAGCACAGGCGCTGCTGTTCAGCCAAATGAAGGTGCATAGTCTCACTCTGAGAGACGTGAATGCAAACACTTCCTGAGGGCTGCTGGAGTGGTCACACAAGGTAAAGTTTGCTCTGAAATCATGGGGCTTAAAACAACTTTCAGGCTTTCTGTAAAATTCAAAGCGCCCGAGACAGTACCTTGAAGTCATAAATGGTTAATAAGACTTTTTATGACTTCCTCAATGCAAACTTTCTTCAAGAAACCTCAACGTCTCAGTAGAAGAAGAACCTCTGGAGCAAACCGCTGCAGTGTGGTCTGAAGCGTTTTCTGCAGCTCGGGCCCCTCGGAGCTCCGCAGAATAACTTCTGTTCTTCAGTCTGCAGAAGAAGTCGATAACCACTGAGAATTTCCTGCTCAGTGATATCACAAGGCTGCATGCCTCCCTTACGTTTAACAGAAATTGATATTTGTACACATGGCCTGAAGGTCAACAAGACCATTAGAAACAGTTTTATACGACGGGGCCTGATATGCTGACGGAGAATGAAAATCACACTCCATTAACCTTGGGAATGTTGGGAATGTGTTTGGTCTTGGTGGTGTTTCTGCAGCATCATTTCACTTCCCCCTCCTCTGGTGAATGTGAGACATTTCAGCGGGTCGTTACAGAGAAGTAACTCTTCTCTTTGAAGAAGTGAACAGATTTTCTTTACTAAGTTTATGTTTTGTCTCGGAGGTAGAGCGATTTATCAAAATACTGGAGGTCTAGCTAGTGTTGTAGTCAAGACCACACTAAATGAGATCAAGACATACCTAAGTCCAGATGGCTCCCAGACTGGGACTAGACCAAGACATTTAGAGACAGAGTCAAGACCGAGACCAAGGCAGGGCGAGACTGAGTCAAGACCAAAACATTTAGGGATTGAGTTGAGACCAAGGCAGGGCGAGACTGAGTCGAGACCAAGACCAAGGCAGGACGAGACCGAGTCAAGACCGAAAGAAAGGCAGTCCGAGACCGAAACAAGACCAAGACATTTAGAGACAGAGTCGAGACCGAGACATTTAGGAATTGAGACCGAAACAAGACCAAGACATTTAAGGGGTGAGACCAAGTCAAGACCGAGACCATGTCAGGGCGAGATCCAGACAAGACCAAGTCCATAAATACCACAGAACAATCATCGTCTGTTGTTTAAGGGGTGTAACACCGGGAAGGTCTGTGGTCTTAACCGGGGGATAAAAGTCAAACTACAAATTGATTGAAATTAGAAAAAGACGTTTTCCTTCTAATCTCGGTAATGACTTGAGAGAAAAGAATTATCCTGCCAGTCTTGATTTAATATCCCGAGTCCGCCCAGTCTGAGACCAAGATAAGGCCGAGTAAAAATGCTTGCTATTCTGAGATGAGACTGAGACCTTTAAAAAGTGGTCTTGAGACCAAAACCGATCTTAAGTAGTAGATCACTCGGACAGAAGCAACTCCTCTTGTCAAAGCGTTTTCTTAGGAATGATATCGAACCCAAACCAGCCGCAAAAAAGTCTTTGTAGGTGCTGAGAGGGGTCAGAAGACTTGACATGTCCTTTATTACAAAGAGCAATATGAGAAGTGGAACTAAA